ATTAAAAGAAACCTGTTTCTATTTTTGTGTGGACACAATGCCTTACCTATTTTCTTTAGATAGATACAATGTCCTACCTGTATTCTTTTGGTGTATACAATAATGTACTTATATTCAAAGGATGGGCACAATAACCTACCTGTATATTTTCTTATGGTGGACATGAAATATGAAGAACTGATACTCATGCTCAAAAGTCCATTTGCACAATTCAATTTGTGAGCGGAGGAAAAGCAGACCTCAAAAGCATATCAGATATGTGGGATCGAGACGAAATACTTACTTGTATCCTGTTGGAAGATGTAATAACCGACCTACATGTATATTTCATGGGTGGATACAATGGTGTACTTGTATGCACACTTGATATGGTGGTTTTTTTTATAAATATATTTATAAATTTACAGAAATCCCCTATGTTGACAGAACTTAAAACCTGTTTCTCTGTTTTATATATCTATTATATATATATATATATATATATATATATATATATATATATATATATATATATATATATATATATATATATATATATATATATATATATATATATATATATATGAATATTGCATTTCTCCTAGTCACTCGGATGAGGATGTAAATTGCTGCTCTTGTGTCAGGGATGACATCCCTCTTGATCCAAATAACAACTTCATTGTGTTCGCACTGGACAACAACAGAGGCTCGAAAAAATTAAACACTGTTTAAGTAGGTTTTCTTTCTTAAAAAAATAACTGAAATATTACCAAGCCAAAGTAACCACGCAATCACAAACACAATCAGATAACACTCATCCACAATCGGTTCCGTTTAATTGAAATAACAAGAGATGTACAAAATAATGAGAAACGTATAAATGCATTGGAGTAAAAAGATAGTCCAATTAATTATTTAGCTCAACATATTTCATTCATCAACGAATTTCATTTTGAATAATACACATTTTGCGTGTGTATCATTGGTAAATAGTAACTAACTAAGTATTATGCCTGCGAAGTTAATGAGACGTATTGTCAATAAACGATAGTTACTTCCATTTATATGTCGACTCGATATACTGTGAAATCACTAATTTTCGATGGGGTTTAATTCTTGTTGTTTTCGAGGTATGAAGAGATCTATAAATTTATGTCCACCACGAAATGTAATTTTTCACATATATTAATGCTCAACAATTTTTCATCCACAAAATCAGTCCCCACGAACCAACATTTTTTCCTCAAGCCACTAAAATTTGACTGCACGAAAATATGTGATTTTACAGTATCACAATGAACTTGAAATAAAAGATAACACAGAGTCTGACATATCTGTTTCATTTCTGGATATTTCACTGGAAGAAGACGTTAATGGTAGCCTAACAAAAGGAACTTTATGACAAACGTGATGACTTCAACTTTTGTATACCATCAGCTTCCCTTATGTAGCAATATACCTTTATCACCTGCATATGGGTTTATATCTCCCCGTTGATTCGATATGTAAGAACATGCTCCACGTTCGAGCTATTTCTAAAACGAGGCAAGCTATTGACAAATAAGTTGATGAATCAAGGATATCGACAGTCTCGTTTAAAGTCATAATTTAGCAGTCGATATAATGACCTTGTCGACAAATACAATCTACCATTAAGTCAAACGCTGACTGATGTTTTTCATACTAATTGTTATGCCATTATTTAAACATTGAATTGTCTACGGATTTTCCTGTTTGGCCGATTACGACAAGGAACACACGGCGAATGTGACTGGTCCACAGGGGATGATTACTCCTTCAAGGCACCTGATCCTATCTCTGATGTATTTTAGAGGTCCGTGTTTTCTCTGCTCTCGATTTGTTTTGCTTCTTCAAAAGATTTAAAGATAGGTATAATTCAATGAAACCTACTAGTATCTGGAATTGAATTGAATCTATCTGTAATGGAATGAACGATATGTTTAATTCATTTAAACCTAGATTCAATTATTTAAAGATATATTTAATTATTTACACCTATCTTCAATTCATTTAAACCTATCTTCAATTCAATTCAACCCATCTTCAGTTCATTTGAAGAAAAGTTCAACTATTTGAATATATGTTAATTTGGCCTTCTATAAAAAATCACTCCAAAAGCGGGTGGCATAAATAGGTTTAAATCGAGCGACCGTGTACTACAGTATGTAAGAAATCATATATGGAATAAAATCATCCTTAAACAAAGTGTTATCTTTATTTCGGACGAAGCAGGCATCGACCATATCAAAATGTGTTAATGTCAAGATTACATTAAACCTATTTTATCTCAAATCTATGTTTTATTGATACATATTCCTCTTGTCTTCGTTGACAATGTATTTGATATTGTCTCATCTCTGAAATATGAACCTTGAATGCCGAAACTCTGAATAAGATGTGTCTTATATTTCAACATTTATTTCGTTAGGATCTCTACCGTGTTCCACATGATACCCAAACTTCACATTATTCATAACCATTTTTTGTCTAAATAATCTTTAGGCAAAGTGTTATCTTTCTTTAGGATGTAGTAGTCACCGACGATATTATGAATGGGTCATCGTTGTCAAGATCACATTAATCCTAAAGACATTAAAGCATTTTATCTCAAATCTATGAATAGATTAAGGAAACATATTCCTCTTGTCTTCGTTGACAATGTATTTAATATTTTCTCATCTCTGAAATACGAACCTTGAATGCCGAAACTCTGAATAAGATGTGTCTTATATTTCAACATTTATTTCGTTAGGATCATTTCCGTGTACCACATGATATCCAAACTTCACGTTATTCCTAACCATTTTTTGTCTAAATAATCTTTTGAAGATCGACATTGCAAAGCTTTCTTATCCTGGGGCTCACGGTGGGTGTCCCTTTCTTTGGTTAGGTTAGTCGAAAGTGTAACCAGTCAACAGGGGAAGCTTTCCCCTCCTTGCTACCTAATCCTACCTCTTCTGTTTCAAGGAGTCTTTGTTTTTCCTTGTCCATAATTCATGTTGCTTATATGATTTATGAGACTGATCTCCACTCTTTTCTATATGACACATTAGGCTTTACATTGTGAAGTTACATGTGTAATAATTAAGAATTTTTTTCAAGAATAGGAAGTCAAATTAATTTACAAAATCTTCTTTAGTTCTAAATTGAATTGAGGTCGAGGGGTTTTTTGTATTTGTTTTGGGCCGTTATGAGTTAGGTATCCTGAATTCAACATCTTACACCCAGCAACGTTCACAAACATGTTTTCTATGGATATAAAGTTAATAAATTCTTGTGATGCATTTCCAGGCAGACTACTTAGAACGTTGAAAGGTTATAATAAAAACATACATTTAAAGCACGCACCATACAATCTTCAATTTTTTTTTAATTTTTGCATCGGATTGTCTGTAATGTTACTGTGAATAAAAACTTCCCAGGAGTTTATCAATCCCAAAGTCTGAGTCTTATATTGAAATGAAGTGATCTTCGAATCACGAAAATATCTTTTGGACTGCTTTTAAAATAAATGTATAAAATGTGAAGATAACGCCTTAAAGTCCAATTAAAAAATACAAATTAAGAGCAGAGAGAAAACATGCCTCTGAAACATCAGAGCTGGGATCAGGTACCATGGAAGAGTGAGTATCCCTTGTCGACCGGTTATCTCCGAAATAAGCGCTTTGTCTTGATCTGATAAACTGAGAAATATGTAGACAATAATGGCCTAACAATTTGTATTAAAAAATTCATTCAAATGGCAGATTATAATTGCAAAGAAGATCCTTATATCGACAAAGATTTTGCCACTTGTTTACTTCTAAACGAGACTATTAGTGTTAGAACTTTTTGTATAGTGAACATGTTCCTGTGTGTCTAATCAACTCGTAGAAATATATACAATATACAGGTGATAAAGTTATATTGCTACATAAACAAGGGAAGTTGACATTAGAAATGTTGGAGTCATAAAGTTTATCATGAAGTTTAATGTTAGTTTGCTGTGAATGTTGTTCTCTGGTGAAACAACCAGATATGAAAAGATTTGTCACACTTAGTATACGCAGCACAGTTAAGGCTACGAAAGTAGGCGGGGCCTAATTTATACGGAAATATTAACTACTTTATACAGGGTTATTTTCGCCCTTTCACACTTGGAAACAATTTTGTCCCGTTTTAAATTCGCCCAGTCGCGGTTCTGTTAAAAAAAAAATAAATTTCCCTGTATACAGTATGACAACACACAAATCTAACAATTCTTTAAAATACCACAAAGTGAAATGATTTGCGAGTTAAAACTGTACGAACGAATTAAGCTACATTAAACTCCACTATAACATGGCATTTTGTAGATAGTAAAATCCCTTAATCCTTTAAAATAATATTAAATTTCATAGATATTAAATTCATGATAGAAAACATAATAGAACTCTGCTTTTTAAGTCAGAATATCACATTGTTATCTGTGCTTATAAAACGATGCATCCATAAACAAGAGTTATCTTTTTATTAAAGATATTTTTGTAGAAAAATTAAAATTCTATACATGGTACATATTGAATTACTGAATATTTAAAATTGTTTAAAGAGAGATAGAAATATTCCAATTTGTAAGGGGTAAAAACTGGATACAAATGTTTAAGATCAATGTTATCAATAACTATCAAAAATAATGGCACAGGAAAATATAAGTCCGTGTTTGTATCTTGTATAGGTTTTGAATGAACTTACATGAGATTCCTATTACTTAACCAAGGAAAGGCAAACCATTGGTCATTTACTATTATCTACTTATCTCTCTTATCAGAGGGTCGTACCCCTCTTAACAGTAATTTCTCTTATTTTTTCATCTGAAAAATGAACATTCAGGATTAAATTCAATACGCCATACCAAACACAAACCTCTATCCTTGTGAACATATGTCGGGTAGTGTTTCACCACTGAAAAGAGAAAATTTAGAATTTACCTTAGCGGGTGCACAAAAAAATGACAAGAAAAAGAATATATAATGATCATAAACAGGCATACAGGACAGCGTATTGTATAGGGTTTTTTTCCACAAGGATAATCAAATTTGAAGTGTAGTATTACTTTTTGCAAACAGATGGACTGACGAGTTTTGGGTTGACTGTGAAATCGAAAATCTTGCCATCGAAATCCGCGACTTATATAGGTATAGGAGGTCACCTTCATATGTTCGAAATCATAAAATGGATCAACTACCCGTTGCTAAGAAAGATGATAACGTCGGAGTAAAAGAATTGGACGGAAATTACATGTAAGGATATTTAAGGATTGTTTTTCTACAAAATGCATGTTCTTTATTTCAAGCATCGGCTATCATGGGGTATGCATAAATGCAGAAATTGAAAACGGGTTTTGGGATAATTTCTATGCATGTTTATGCAAGTTTATATTATTTTACTAATTGCTACATTTTTCCTGCAATGTATTCTTAGAACTTCTTATTTTTCTAAGGTTTTCAAACATTCATTCAGAAGTATCAGCCGTGTTTTTACTGTTTCATTAAGCGTGCGACCATTGTTAATCTTTAGACATGTAGGTAGTCGCATCATCAGAAGTATTTCAGCTGAACCATTCATAACTACAGTTAATGCGCTTCTAATATATTTATGCTTACAGTGAAGTGATTTTTATTCCCTATTGTATAAAAATATATCACATAGGCGTCGGAAGGAAATTGAAAGTGGGGTGGCTAATTGAAAGTGGGGGGGGGGGGGCTAAACCAACGAAAAAAGGTAAGTCCCAATTTTCAATGCCTACATTATGTCTATCTTTGCAAAAAAAGTGGGGGGGCTAAGCCCCTTCCCCCCTAGCACCCCCCCCCCGGTTCCGACGCCTATGTATCATGAACTTAACTGATATAATGAAGGACGGTAGTAGCGAATCAAAATTGTTCGTCCTTGGCACTTCACTTTCAGCGTAATTTACTATACTGAGACTACGACACCTACACAATTCATTTTTGTTTACTAACATCAATAGTCAACCAGATCGTGCTTTCTCGTTACAGATATGGTCGCTGGGGACCCTATCAAACTTTTCAGGCCGCCTTTCTCCTAATACATGCATTGCAAGGAAGTTTTCAGCTTTTGAATATAGTTTTCATTGGTAAGATATTATAATGTGTATCCTTTCTGTTAGAAACAGTTGTAGACAGCACATACAAATGGGGGATTAGTCTTAGATGTGATTAGAACTATGATTGTCAACCATTTCATATCACATTCATTGAGGGATCTAAATGTAATTTGTTTGTTATTTATTGAGATTTTACAAACAGTTTTTTTACATGAAATACAAAAATAACGAACAGTGATCATTCTCAAAAGTGCATTTAAACAATACAAATTATGAGAAGAGCCAACACGGACCTCTGAAAACAGAGGTGGGATTAGGCGCCATGGAGGTGTAAAATCTTCTATCGACCTTTCACACCGCCGTTAGCCCTATGTATTAATCAAGAATACGGAGTACTCCATAGTCAAATTCAGTATAAAAGGAATGACCTAGCAAATAGAATCAAACATGTCAGATAAAACTAGTATTAATTGTAACGGGGACCATTACAGATGTTCCCCAAACGCTCCCCAACTTCCTTTTGGTGTCATTCCCTGTAAGCTTCATTAAATAAGGCAAATCAAGTATACATTTACGCATTACACGCCCGCGCACGGGCATGCATGTACAAAATGACCATGTCAACTTGTCTACACTTTCAATACATCTTTATATTCAAATTTCATCAAAAGATGAAAAAAAATTCGGCTATATTAAGTATATCTGTCATTTTACGCATTGCACGCGCGCGAACGTGATGCATGTCCATGATGACCGTGTCATTTTGTCAACACTATTAATATATCTACATATTTTAAGTATCAAAGCATTTCATCAAAAAGTATAAAAGTTACAGCTATATCAAGTATATTGATCATTTTAGCATTGCATGCGCGCGCATGTGCATGCACGTGCATGTTGACAATGTCGTCTTTTCTACATTTATAATATGTCTATATATTCTGAATATCAAAGTATTACATCAAAAGATATGAAAGTTTTAGCTATATCAAGTATATTGGTCATTTTACTCATTGCACGCGCACGCACGAGCATGCAAGTGCATGCATGTGTGCGCTGATCATGTCATCTTGTGTACACTTCTAATATATATTTATATTCTGACTTTCAAAGTAATTCATCTAAAAATGTACAAGTTAAGTCTATATCATTTGTATTGGTTATTGCAATCATTGCGCATGCGCACACGTGCATGCATGTGCATTTTGACCATGTCTATATCAAGAATATTTGTATTTTACACAATGCACGCGCACGCACGTGCATGCAAGTGCATGCATGTGTGCGCTGATCAAGTCTTCTTGTCTACACTTCTAATATATATTTATATTCTGAGTTTCAAAGCAAATCATCAAAAAATGTACAAGTTAAGTCTATATCAATTGTATTGGTTATTTCAATCAATGCGCATGCGTGCAGGTGCATGTGCATTCTGACCATGTTATCTTATCTACACTATTAATATATCCTTATATTCTGAGTATCATAGTATTTCATCAAAAGATATGAAAGTTATGGCTATATCAAGTATATTGGTCATTTTACTCATTGCACGCACACGCACGTGCATGCACGTGCACGCAAAATGACCTTCGTTCCGCAAATCTACATAACATTCCTATTAACCCTAAAAAGGTTTCACCTCAATCGGATGTGTAGTTTCGGAGATCACTCACGGACAAAAAAGTACCCAGGAAGAAAAATAATAATAACTAGTATTAATTGTAACGGGGACCGTTACAGATGTTCCCCAAACGCTCCCCAACTTCCTTTTGGTGTCTTATTCCCTGTAAGCTTCATTAAAAAAGGCAATCAAGTATATTGTTTTTTTTACGCATTACACGCGGGCGCACGGGCATGGCTGTAAAAAATGACCATGTCAACTTGTCTACACTTTTAATACATCTTTCTATTCAAATTTCATCAAAAGATAAAAAAAAATCGGCTATATTAAGTATATCTGTCATTTTACGCATTGCAAGCGCGCGCACGTGTATGCATGTCCATGATGACCGTGTCATCTTGTCAACACAATTAATATATCTAAACATTTTGAGTATCAAAGCGTTTCATCAAAAAGTGTAAAAGTTACAGCTATATCAAGTAAATTGGTCATTTTAGCATTGCATGCGCGCGCATGTGCATGCATGTGCATGTTGACAATCTCGTCTTGTCTACATTTATAAAGGGTCTATATATTCTGAGTATCAAAGCATTACATCAAAAAGTGTAAAAGTTATGGTTATATCAAGTATATTGGTAATTTTACTCATTGCACGCATATGCACGTGCATGCATGTGCATGCTGACCATGTCGTCTTGTCTACACTATTAATATATCTTTATATTCTGAGTATTAAAGTATTTCATCAAAATATATGAAAGTTTTGGCTATATCAAGTATATTGGAAATTCTACTCATTGCACGCGCACACACGTGCTTGCAAGTGCATGCATGTGTGCGCTGATCATGTCATCTTGTGTACACTTCTAATATATATTTATATTCTGAGTTTCAAAGCAATTCATCAAAAAATGTACAAGTGAAGTCTATATCCTTTGTATTGGTTATTTAAACCATTGCGCATGCGCACACGTGCATGCATGTGCATTCTGACCATGTCATCTTGTCTACACTTTTAATATATCCTGATATCCTGAGTATCAAAGCATTTCATCAAAGGATATGAAAGTCATAGCTATATCAAGTATATCTGTCATTTTACTCATTGCACGCGCGCGCACGTGCACGCACGTGCATGTATGAGTGCGCTGATCAAGTCTTATTGTGTACACTTCTAATATATATTTATATTCTGAGTTTCAATGCAATTCATCAAAAAATGTACAAGTTAAGTCTATATCAATTGTATTGGTAATTTTAATCAATGCGCATGCGCTCACGTGCATGCATGCGCATTCTGACCATGTCATCTTGTCTACACTTTTAATACATCCTTATATTCTGAGTATCAAAGCATTTCATCAAAAAATATAAAAGTTATAGCTATATCAAGTATATTGGTCATTTTACGCATTGCACGCGCACGCACGTGCATGCGCGTGCGCGCAAAATGACCTTCGTTCCGCAAATCTACATAACATTCCTATTAACCCTAAAAAGGTTTCATCTCAATCGGATGTGTAGTTTCGGAGATCACTCACGGACAAAAAAGTACCCAGGAAGAAAAATAATAATAACTAGACTCTTGTTGCCATGGCAACAAAAAAGTCTTCCGTTCTTCTAAATCTGTAAGAATTTGCTTTTTTTCTGTGTAAAAAACATACATATCATATTTACTGTGAAAGAAAAAAATAACTGGAAAAAAAGTCCTTTCAGTACTTAAGGTACTTTGATTTTCATTATCAATCTTGTATAATACATTTAGCACCTATAAGAGATATACGTATATCATTAGCAATTTAAAAAAAAATTGTTTGCAATCATTTCTAAGACAAACAAACAGACGAACGAACACCGTACCATCATGTATGTTTTGGCATAATTGTGTATGGTGTTATAAAAAAATATAATGAATTAAGTTAGTATCACATTAAACGTAAAGTCACTGAGTTTTGTAAAGTTATAATATCAAGATTTGACAGCATACCTATAAGACAGATTATTCAATTACAGTAATTCTTCAGCAATCGATTGATTGATTATACGTATGTTGTTTAACGTCCCTCTCCAGAATTTTTCACTTACATGGAGACGACACCACTCGCCGGTGGAGACTGCAAATTTTTGTCCTATACTTTGGCACTTATCGCAATTGAGCAGAGGGGAATCTTTTTTATGCCAGCACCTTCTGCGACAAGGGACCTCGATTTATACGATCTCATCCAAAGGACCGGTCTCCACGTCCCACAATCGAAGTTCATAATACCGAGATATTTTATTTTTTATTTTATTCTATTTTTTCACAAGTTTGTTGCATCAGATTTACTTAAAGATCATACTTAAAGATCATTTCAAACTCAGGCTACTTAATTGCAGTGCATACAGCGTCAAGTGATTTTGATTGACAGGTCAACACAGGTGCACTTCGTGTGATACTTTTTAAGCTGAAAAATATACAGAATGTGACCATGACTATGAAATCAGAAAACATTTAATAAAGAATGGGTGTGACCGATATAGAACTAATTTTTGGTCTATGTAAATGGATAGGAGGATCGGGATTAAGAGGGAATCTCTCTCTCTCCTCTCTCTCTCTCTCTCTCTCTCTCTCTCTCTCTCAGACGTAAATTGAACATTTCATAATGACAAATATACCATTACAGAATATGAAATTCTGTATACATGTAAATGGTAATTATATTCACATGTTCCAGATTTAAATCTAAACCGAATATATAATTCAAATGCCTAGCTGCACGAACGTCTCCAAATATTAATCAAGACGGGGGGGGGGGGGAGGGGGAGGAGGCTTCAAAGGAATAAGATAGTTTTATGTTTTATGAATTATAAGGAAAAGTACGGACGTCAGTTGCATGTACATAATTATATATCATTGCATAAAATTGTGTTCATTCAGGTATACTTATCCCACATATCAAGAGACCTGTGCAATTTTTTTTATCATGTTTTTTTTTTCAAAAGAAACATATAGCGTAGCATTATTTCACACAGAATCGCGTTTTCACATATTTTTTTGAACTCTTTGAGTATTTCACAAGAATCCAAAAATCGTCTTTTCACATCTTTTATAATTTCTTGGGTATATAGAGTATAGATCATGTGTCATAAATAATTTAACTTTTTATCAAATATACATGTAATAACCAAATCTAATCTATAGATTGATTTTCTTTCTTTTAAGTGGCAGATATCAATTTATTTATAAAGGCTTTAAAACAGTACTGTATTACAATTTTCTATCGCTCAATTCCTTTTTGAGTGTATGTAATATTTTTTAATATCGAAATTAAAACTCGGAAATCGGGATAATTTCGCATTCAAATCATAGAGAATAATAAATCGTCTACATTATAGAAGGCTTATAACTATCGTATTCTGAACTTAC